GGAAAGTGGTTATTTTGTTTGTTGCCTGCATCTGTTCCATCTTAGAGCCTGATACCATCCGTCAATCAATTAGTCAACTAAGTATTTAATTGCTATTGTATGTCTTGGATCTCTTCTTAAAAATATTTTTGATGTATTTTATGTCAGTCACTTCTTAATTTAATGCCCCCATGCCCCTCACTCCATATGAAACCCATATTTGTAACAAATAAAAATAATTAAGCCGAAATAACCAATACGGTGACAGCCTTTGACAGCACTTGTAACATTCTACACTCATAGTCCTGTACCTCTCTAAGGAAAGATGAAAGTTGTGGTTCATTATCTGTCCTTCAGGAGCAAGACTGGTCCTCAAAATATATTATTCAGAATGCTCTTTTCTTTTAGTGTCCTTTTTGTTTACATCTTTGTAGTTTTGTTCTTTTTGTGTACATCTTGTTATTATGTAGTCTTTTTTTCCTGGTTCTGCTTACCTCACTTTGCATATACTCATAAAACTTTCCTATGCTTCTTTGAATTCTTCGTATTTGTTATTTCTTACAGAACCAAAAAATTTCATTGCTATAGTTTATTCAGCCATTCCTCAGTTGAGCACTCACTTTATTTCTAGTTCTTGAAATAGTTTGACATATATAGAACATTTCTTTCTGTCATTGGCCTCTTTGAAATATGTGTCTAATAATGAGATCACTGGATCAAATAGTGTAAATAGTTTAGTGACTTTTTCTTTAAAAAAATTGTTTTCCAGTTACATGTAAAATTTTTAATATTTGTTTTTTAAAATTCTGAGCTCCAAATTCTCTTCCTCACCTCCACCGTCATTGAGAAGGCAAGTAATTTGTTATAGATTATACATGTGTAGTCATGCAAAACATATTTCCGTATTTATCTTGTTGTTAAAGAAAACACAGTCCAAAAAAAAAACTCCAAGAAAAATAAAGTTTTAAAAAATGTGCTTCAATCTGCATTCAGACTCCATCAGTTATTTTTTTCTATAGAGATGGATAGAATTTTTCATCATGAGCCCTTCAGAATTATCTTAGATCATTGTATTGCTCAGAATAGCTAAGTCATTCACAATTGATCATGATATAATATTGCTGTTACTGTGTGTACAATGTTCTCCTGGATCTGCTCACTTCTCTTTGCATCAGATCAGGTAGGTTTTTCCAGGTTTTTCTGAAAGCATCTTGCTTGTTATTTCTCATATCGCAATAGTATCCCATCACAATCACAACTTGATCGGCCATTCCCACTCTGATAGACATCCCCATAATTTCCAATTCTTTGCCACTGCAAAAAGAGCTGCTATACATGTTTTTGTACATATAGGTCCTTTTTCCCTTTTAAAAAAACATCTCTTTGGGATACAGACTTACTGGTGATATTGCTTCATCAAAGGGTATACACAGTTTTGTAGACCTTTGGGCATAGTTCCAAATTGGTCTGTAGAATGATTGGATCAGTTCACAACTCTATGAACAGTGCATTAGTATGCCAGTTTTCCCACCTCCCCTCCAACATTTGTCATTTTCCTTTTCTGTCATATTAGGGCAATCCAATAGGTGAGGAGTGGTACCTCAGAGTTGTTTTAATTTGTACTTCACCAAGCAATAGTGAGATAGAGCATTTTTTCATGTGACTGTAGATAGCTTTGATTTCTTCATTGGAAAACTGCCTGTTCATATCCTTTGACCATTTATCATTTGGGGAATGACTTGTGTTCTTATAAATTTGACTCAGTTCTCTACATGTTTGAGAAATGAGGCCTTTATCAGAGAATCTTACTGTAAAATTTTACCCAAGTTTTCTGCTCCCCTAATTTGTTTATGGTATCACCCTTTATGTCTAAATCATGTATCCATGTTGACCATATCTCAGTTTATGATGTGAGATACTGGTCTATATCTAATTTCTGTCAAACTGCTATCCAGTTTTCCCAGCAGTTTTTGTCAGATAGTGAGTTCTTATCCCAAAAGCTTGAGATCTTTGCATTTTTACTACACTAGATTACTATGGTTATTTACTACTGTATATTGTGTACTTAATCTGTTCCACTGATCCACTACTCTATTTCTTAGTCAGTACCAGATTGTTTTGATGATTACTGCTTTGCAATACAATTTGAGATATGGGACAGGTAGGCCACCTTCCTTCACTTTTTTTTTTCATTAATCCCTTGATAGTCTTGACCTTGACTTTTCTTATCTCAATATAAATTGTATTTCTGGAGGAAAATGCTTCACTAAAATATTTTTGGGCTCTTGTCTTCCCACTTTTTTCTAGCTTTGACCATTTTCATTTTTTAAATTATCTTTGCCAATTTGATGGCTACAAAGTTAAATTTCAGCATTTTTAAAATTTGCATTTCTGTTATTATTAAATTTTGATCAATTTTGAACAATATTGTTGTTGATTATTGTAATTAATTATAAAATGGTTCATATCCTTTAACTACTTATCTATTGGGGAATGGTTCTTGGTTTCCTCAGAGTTATTTGATGAAAGGTTTTATTTCTCTATTTAACAATTGCTCTTACTTTAGAATGAATTAATTTTGTTTGTGCAAATGATTTTTTTATTTTATGTAATCAAAATAATCTATTATCCTTTGTGTTTGACTTTATTCCTTATTTGTTTAGGAATTACTCCTAGTCCTAATTGTGAAAAGTACTCCTCTGTTCTCCACTATTTTGGGGTGTGTGTGTGTGTGTGTGTGTGTGTGTGTGTGTGTGTGTGTGTGTGTGTTTAATCATGTGACCTTTTCTGTTTAAGGCATATTTATGTTATACTTCTTGTGGTAGGTGATATAAGATGTGGATCTAAATCTACTTTATTCCAAATTGTTTTCCATTTTTCCTAGAAGTTCTTGTCAAATAGAGGGTCCTTCTCCTTAAAGTTTGGATTCTTCAATTTGTTGAACACTGGGCTTTATTGTTTCTGGGACCTGTTTTTCTTCTCTGTTTCATTTGTCTATTTTTCAAATTTTTTACCAGCACAAAAAAGTTTTGATGATCATAATTTTATATTATAGTTTGCAGTCTGGCAATGATAACGCTTCTTTCATTCTTCCTTTTTTCATGATTTCCCAGAATTTTTTTCTTTTCCAAAACTTATTATTATTAATTTGTCTAATTCTATAATGTAACTTTTCCATGGTTTGATTGACATGGCATTGAATCTGTATTCTAATTTGGGTAACGTTGTCATTTTTATTGTATAGCACAGGTCAACCACAAGCAGCAAGTATCTTTTTAATTACTCAAGTATTCCCTTATTTCTGCAAAGGCAGATAGGTGGCACAGTGAATGGAGCACTGGACCTGGAGTCAAGAAGACCTGATTTTAAATCCAGCCTCATATATCTACTAACTTTGTGATCCTGGGCAAATCATTTAACCCCTATCTGCCTGTTTCCTTGTCTGTAAAATTGGGGATAATAGCAGCTACCTCCCAGGGTTTGAGGATCAAATGAGTAAATATTTGTAAAGCATTTTGCAAACAATAAAGTAGTAGTAGTAAAGTAGTAGTAGTAGTAGTAGTAGTAGTAGTAGTAGTAGTAGTAGTAGTAGTAGCAGCAGCAGCAATAGTAGGAGTAGGAGTAGGAATAGTAGTTGTAGTAGTGGTGATGGTGGTAGTGATGGTATCAATCCTGAATGTGACTTAACAGATTACCTTCTATGGCTTTTTTGTTTGAGCTTTTCATATTCTCTTTGCAGTGTGGTAGACATGGAAAGAGGAGACCAGGATTCAAATCATGCCTCTGACATTTACCAACTCTGTGACCATAAACAGGTCACTAAAGCTCTCTGAGCCTGAATTTCCTCATCTGTATAATGAAAATAATAGTACTTGTACCACCCACTCACAGGACTGTTATGAAGAAAGTGGCCACAGTTAAAGCACTGAGTTTTTATTATCTTCCTTACTAGATTTTAAGTTCCTTAAAGTTAAGCATCATGTCTTAACAGGGTCTTGCATGTGATTAATAAATATTTACTAAATTTAAAATGTCAGATTATACATGGCCAGCGAAGAATTATAAGTCCCTGCCCTCAGGGAGTTTATAGTCTAGCTGGGAAGAAACATGCATGCATTTCCTCATCTAATCTGCTCTTCCCTTCCTTTATCCCTCTCTCCTTTCCCCATTTCCTGGCCTCCTTTGAGCCATGCATTTTGCCCATTTTCCTTACCTTGCTCCAGCTTCAGGAGACCCTGGACACATCAGGACCCAAACCACAAGGCTGGAGCCAGGACCAATCAGATGTTTTCATTGATAATCTTGCTTTTCCTTGCTTTACCCTCCTTACATTTTTCCTTCCTTTTCCTTTTAGTTTCTCCTCCTCATCTCCTTTTGTTTTTCAGTTCTGAGTGCTCTGCCTGGCCTTAGGGAGATTAGATGACATCAAAGTAAAAGGTAAAGTTGGGTATATGGACTGGGCTCTAGAAGGGGTGTAAGCTCTCTGAAAAAAAGTGTACATATGACATACTTTAAGTTTAATTTGCATTATTAACGTTTCCTCCATTACTTTCTTAGGGCTAAATAATCAGCAAAATAATAAATCAAGTCTTAATTTGTAGCATTTGCTAATATCCAAAATGTAAATGCTCACACTGAGAATTTAACAATCAGCTTTCACTAGCCTGTTGAAGCTGGACCCAGCATACTCTTGAACTAATGATGGATACGAGGTATCATTTCTCACATTTGCTTCACATGTTCATATTCGTTCTCATCTGATCCTCACAACAACCCTGTATTATGGAGAGTGCAAGTATTATTATCCCCATATTACAGGTGGTGAAACTAAGACCCAGAAAGGTTAAGGCACAAAATGGTGGAAGTAGGACTGAAATACAGGTCTTATCTAGTCCTTGTACTGTGACACATTGGTAAATCTGGGAATACTAGATACAAGTGAAATGTGGGTAGAATGTCTAAAAAACAAAAAAACCTGGGAATTTCTAGTCATCTAACAAAAATCTTGACTCCATTTCCAGGTGTGTGGAAGTCTTTTGCATATATTTTCAAGCCAGCAGAGTTGAAGAGCCTTATGTCAGTATTACCAAGAAGAGGCAGATCCCTAAAAATGGACTCACGGAAGAAATTGAGAAAGAAGTGGGCAGGGCAGAAGGCAAGTTGTTCACGCACAGGTCGGCGTTCAGCAGGGCATCGGTGATACAGGCTTTCTTGGGCTCAGCACCTCAGCTGACCCTCCAGCTGTACATCAGCGTCTTGCAACAGGAAATCACCATAGGGAGAAGTATGTATATCCTAAATTTTGGCCTTGGTCTTCTGGGGAAAAGTGGGGGTCATGCCAAAGAGCTGCATTTACCATTGAAGGAACTTATTCATTCATACTTCACAAGGTTAACTGGTCGCATCTCTTGTTTGTTAGGTCACATTGCATCAAAACCAGCCTAGATAGGTGATTTTCTAATCCTGTCTTGGTGGTAAATTTTATTTTGTGGGACACTTAAATAAATGTCTATTACATACCAGGTACTTAGTCAACCCAGAAGGCAGTTTCTTTATTAAGAACTGCCTTTAAAATGAGTAATCAGTTACTAGCTTCTAAGTCATATTTTCTGACCCAGTTAGGACAGAGTAAATCTCTTGATTATTGTAATATCAGTAGATTTACCAAGAGCAGCTTCTACTTGGTTGTTTAATTTCAGAAAACCCATATTCATGTGAGACATGGAGAGAGAAAAGGAGGTGAAGAGGGAGAAGATATTTGAAATTACTAGATAAGTGAATAAATACCAATACTCAATCAGCTTATAGATTTTATTCAAAAGTTAGTGAACATGCTTGTAGAAACAAGCAAATAAAATTACTCCTATTAAATTTGCCCTCTGAATTTTCTTGTCCTTTCAAGTAGTGTGCAATAGGAAAATTGATGATGAGAAAGCATTATTCACATTGCTAACTAGCTTCATGTCCAGAGCAAGACCCCCATATTCCAGTTTCTGCTTGGGGAAGAGTGGGTGCAGGCTCCAGCCGTAAGCCACATGGGCAACATCAGAATCCTCCCTCCCAGGGCCATAGTGTTACAATGACTAGGTTCTCCTGCTTCACCTTTCTGTACCATGAACCAACTGGCTGCTACGAGGGATGCTGGTGGAAAGAGGACTTTTCTTGAGAAAATGCCCATTCAGTCATTACATTCAACAACAAACATTTTCAAATTCTTCACAAGATCCAGTCCTCTGATTCCTTTCAAAACTCCTCTAAGCTTTAGTAGATGAATTCATTTTTAATTCATGAGAGTTTTAAGAGCTTCTATGACCCTCCAGCTCTACATAATTACCCTGCAACAAGAATTCACCCTAGAGAGGAGAATGTATGGCTTCCATTTTAGCTTTACTCTGCTGAGAGCAAAGTGGGAGTCATATCAGAGAGTAGCATTTGTCACTGCAGGAGTTCATTGAAACACAGAATCTTGGAGGCAAACATTCTGTTGTTTGATAGCCAGCTTTCTGGTAAGGAGCGTCACCCCCTCAATTCAGATAAGTTAATCCTTTAAAATCAATCTTATAGCCCATTTCCAAGTCCATACTGGAAGTCTTTCCAAGTTGGGAGAGCTTTCACTCTAACCTTTGAGAATCTGGGTTGCTTTAGTGTTCTGATGAGTCATTAGGATGGGATATGCGAACCATAATTGCCAAGGCAATGTATTAGATGTCAGAAGGGATACTAGGATAAGTACCACATATTCACTGCTTTCAAAAAACTAAGTCTAAAATATCAGTCTCATGTGCAGCTGTAGTTCAATAGTTATTTTAGAAAGTAGCTAAAATTCCTTTGTGATTCCAACGTGTTTTTTTTTTAACACCTCTCAATAGAACCTTGTGTTTAGATACTCATCTGGGATATCCTCAGCTGCTTGGGGAATGTCATACTGTGATCAGGACCAGAGCAAAGCACATAAGTACCCTACCCAGATTTTAAAAATCACATTTCTCAGGTGTTAATTTGACCCTCATTGGAACATGTGTGATTTGACATTTTTTGCAACAATTCCTACCTTTACAATTTTCTTAAACTACACTCCACCACATACTGTGCAATCCAGTGACACTGACCTCCTTACTGTTCTTTGAATAAGATACCCTATCTCCATCTGGACTTTTTCACTAGCATCACTGTGCATAGAATACTCTTCCTTCCTCCCCACCTCCTCCCAGTTTTCCTGGCTTCCTTTCAATCCCAGGTAAAAATCCCATCTTCTATAGGAAGATTTTCCTCATCCCTTTTAGGTCTAATGTCTTTCCTCTGTTGATTATTTACAACTTATTTTGTATATAACTTGCTTATATATAGTTATTTGCATATTGTCTCCCCCATTGGATTGTGGACCCCTTCAGGATAGGAACTGCCGTTTATCTTTCTTTGCATTCCCAGAACTTAGCATAGTACTTACCATAAGCACTACATAGTTAGGTGCTTAATAAATATTTTAGTGAATGACTGACTGACTGACTGGGTAAATGATTTTCTATCTTTACTAGAAAATGACACTATCACAACATTAAATCATGGTTGTAAAGTGTGTAGTGGATATAACCAATTCTCACGTTAACAATTGGTCAGGTAGTATATATGCTAGTCTTCCAAGGGAGAATTTTCATTTTAATTTCAGAAATAATAATACTTTATACTGACTTTGAGTTTCAAAAGGATTTAAAGGTTCAATTTGATCCTATGAATTCAAAGAGGTTTTTTTTTAATTTAATACCAACCATATACCTAATAATTTAATTCAATTGAATTCAACAAGCATTTATTAAGCCCCTATGTGCCAGGTACTGCGCTGGACAATGGGCACACAAAGACAAAAATTAAACTCTTCTTGCCCTCAAGGAGCTTACATATCAATATTGTTTTTAAACTACAGAGAGAGAGAAAGTGTATAACAAGTAATGCCCTAAAGAAGTGGGATGTTTTAGGGTTGTTGTTTGCTTGTTTGTTTTTGTCAGGGAGACAAAATGTAGGCTACAAGATGTAGGATTATTCAAGAAGTGCAAAATTGACTCACATTTTGGTTATGCTCACAATGTTCCTCTGATGTCATTAGGAGACAGTGTTAAACTGTTCCTTTTAGAAATGGAAAACTTCAGATACTAAGTCACATAGCCAGTGTTAGGAAGATCCGACCTTTAGTTCTGTGATTTAAGCAGGAAGTAACTGTACAGTTGGGAAGTAGGACAAAGCAGATTAAAAAAAAGAATGCTTCCTTTGCAGGCATTTTTACATGTGTATTTCACTAACATGGTTAGTGTACACATTTTTATATTTGCTGAAATGTAGGAAGCTTATTGCTTTGTTGTTTGAAACATATCAAATAATGAGTATGAAAGAAAGAGGTTAGAAGCAAGCCTGTATTCATTACACCTTTTCCCCCCTCTTTTTTCCTGTCCCTTCATTACCCATTGCCTCAGCTGGGGAATCTGAAATTTGGCCCTGTAACCTATAAACTGTCCTCTACTCTGATAATAAAAATGAAGAGAGTCAGAAAATAAGCTTGGGACTTTTCACGTTGGCCTGGCTTCATGGTATTAGAAGGTATTTATTATTACTGGAGTAGACCATAACATTTTGATCTGTTCTGTAGACACCAGTAAAATAAATAGAATGATTATACCCAACTTGTTCTGACTACCTATTCCTATAATCACATGCAACAGAGGAAGATTGGCCCAGAAGGAATGAAATTACTGGGTCAGGATTATGAAAATTGGGTTCATGTCTAGGAGCAGATTAGTGAGCATGTGTTGCCTGCAACCAGATTATACACCAAACAGAGAGGCGTGAAATAAACTTGAGACATGGGCCAGGTGGAGCAGCAGAACTGACTCAGTTTATTCATCTGAGGGTACAGGATATATAGAGAAAATTTAGCCTAACTTCAAAGAGTCCTGCCTGTGAGATACTCCCCAGAACATCTGCTGAGGACATGACAACATAAATTTCCTCGTTATCAGGGTTCCTAGATTGGGTGGTAAATTCCAAGGTTTTCCCAGGTACCTTGGTGCCACCTGCATAGAGGAGTGAATGTGTAAATCTAAGGTTCAAAGAGTGAGAAGGAATGTCTCAGGAACCTCCTAATCAGGAAGGGATTGGAGAGCCATACCTCTTAATCATTGAGCCCTTTCAGGTAAAAGCCTGGGCAGAGGCCTGCCTTGGATCTTAAACCCTTATCAGACTCTTAAGATCGGCCCTCAACAAGCATGAGAAAACCAGTTCATAGGATCATAAACCTAGAGGCCATCTAGGGCAACCCCTTCATTTTACTGATGGGGAAATTGAGTCTAGGGAAGCTAAAGTGAGGTACTCATGGCTCTCCAGATAGCATCAAAGGTAGGATTTGAACTTCCATGAGTCTATAGCCAGTCCTCCTTGCAATATACTGCAGTTACTCATTTGCTTGTTACCTCTGCTTCTTCCCTTCATTCATCAAAGGAGAACTAGCATACGTGGTCCTCTTGCTTCACTGAACTACCATAAGACTAAACAGCATTTTTTCTGTTTATAGAAAAATAAGAAAACATCATATTCACAAGGTCATCTTCATTTATCACAGTGCATTTGCTGGCCCCATGAACTTAGGATTCATTAAAATTTTGTTTTTGGTGTTTTTTGGTAACTAAACCTGGTCTTTCTCTGCTGTTCATTATTATTGGCAAGTGGCACTTTCCTCATTACTTAGCAAATGGAATTCAGAATAGGCTTGACAACATGGCAGTTTTGTCTTTCTTCTTCCTTCTCCTTCCCGGTCTCTGTAGCCATTTGTCCAAAGAGCTTTTTGTTGTTTTTTTGTTGTTTTGTTTTGTTTTTTCTATCACAAGGTTCTTTTGCCTTCACTGAAATCTTCCAGATAAATAATGATGCTGGGAATTATCATCATATCAGTATCTCAATAAATCAGTTAAATGACTATAAGAATCTCTTTTTTAAAGGCCCTCACAAAGGCATTTTATTTAGTCTCAGTCTCTTGTTGGAAGCAATTTCTCTTTGTACCCAACAGCTTCAATGAATTCACTGGTGGCAGTGGTAGAGGACCTCCATATAGTTCACTTAGCCTGTAGTGCTAACATTGATAATATTGGTTATAAAAGTTCAGGATAACTTAAAAATATAGAGTTTTCCATTTTTTGTGTAAATGCTGCTGCCTATGGATTAGAAAGAATTACTGGACCAGAGGTTCAGGGACCCAAGTTCCAGACTGGGCTTTATCTCTAATTTTCTATATTTTTGACC